GTATTTGATTAGATATTCACTACACGAGAACCTATATAAAACATTCGATAAATTGAACTTTTCTCCCTTATCCTTGAGTTGAGTATGTAAAGAGGTAATTTTATTGTTGTATTTGTAACAACAATTGATGTCGGGTATGTATTTCTTTATTAAATATTTTAATTTGGGCGAAATCACTGGAACGTACGTTATACTCTTAAACGTGAAAGGATAGTTCGTATTTCTATCAGTTTTTTCATCATTTATTAACTTTCTTGAATTAACCAGTGTCTTTGGGTAGTTGTTATTTTTTAAAATGCGGAAAGCTCGCTCTTCAACTTCACTCAGAAACATGTTCAGCTTAGTGACAATACTCTGCGTATCAAGTTATTAGCTCAATTCAGTTTCAAACAAAAGAGTGAGAAGAGAAATAATTAGAATATGTTTCAGAGCTGATTTCAATGTGCCCGCTGGACTTCTGCCATTCATAGAGAGGGAAGAGAACCTCTATTTTAACCTTCATAGGTTTATTGTATGTTCTCACGATAACTTTTAAAAAGCTCAATCGGATTGTTTAAATTATCCCATGGAAAAGTCCGAAACAAGTCATGAACGTACTTACATACGGGCTTAACATTATAAGTGACCTGATCTAAAACCAAATCAATCAAATCATTTATTAGGATATCTGCAAAAATGGGGGACAAAACACCATGAATGGCTTATTAATTTGAAAAAGAGGTCTTTGGTAATGAGAGGAGGACCTCTAGGATAACGTTGCAATACTGTTACAATCTTTGGCAATATTGGGACTAAATCGGCCTTCAAGGAAATTTGAAATCGCTTGTAAAAAACTTAAATATGTCATTCTGTAGACATATGTAAGGTTGCTGTAAATTCTGCATAGTTATATTGACTGTTAAATCATTGGACAAATATGTTTTTCAAAAGGGGAAATTAATATAGGCCTGGGGAAGACCTTAAAATAGATCGAAAGCGTGGCAGTAGCAACTAAATTTGCTTTCTTTTTCAAACCATACCTTGATCCAGAGTGGTCGTAAGTAAAAAAAAAGTGTTCGATACTTGAAAACGGAAATAAAAATGTCAGTTCAGTAATGTGATGCAGAAACAGCCAAGCTTCTTAAATAATCGGCAAAACATCCTCATACCGAAGCGCCACAGTTCTGTTTGTCACGGCTAGATCGAATCACAATCTTTTAATCTTACAACCCAAAAACTAAAGAACAAAAAATACACACATGCATGAAATCGTGCAAAGATGCGATTTTCTCGTTAGAGTATTTGTTGTTATTCGGTGCTCGGTTATTCTTCGTCAAGATAAACGTGTTTTGATCCTTGCCCCTCACCCCGAGTAAAAAAGCAGACCAGTTATTCACACAGGGAAACTAAATGTTTGCTCGAGAAGGTTTACGTCATCTGAAGTGATGTTCGAACTCTCGAAAAATAAATTGTCACAAAAAGAAATTATATGTTGGCCGCGATTAAATAACATTGAACCTTATTCATGACATATCGTCAAATTGAAATTTAATAAAGAAATTTAGTAATTTTTTGATTTTTAATCAACCAGATCATGTGGCCCGATGTGTTGTTAAAAGAACATGCAATTACAAAGCTTTTCTTTACGAAGTTTTCATCCTAAATGAGTCATTAAAATACTTATGCTGCTAAATAGGGTAAAAATTTGACACGCTAATATTATAACGTCGCGTTTAGCTTACAAGTTGAAACTCTGTTAAATTGCAATTAAAATATAACCAGATCTGCGAGTTGTGAAACTTTATTGACGGGAGAATAATGCGATGAACATAGTTTACGTCAAAGCAATTTCGCTTCTCACGATAATAATAAACGAGAAAAATTTCAACATTTTTTTATTGTTACGTTCTTTTTATACTGGCGGAAATACTGACACAAATGAGTGCTTATTTTTCTCTTGAACTTTTGATTGACCCACTTTATGAAACACGATGCTGAAAAACTTGTAATTAAGTTATAGCCTTAATCATTTTGATCAATAAGAACAAACAATTTCCTTAAGTATAAATTCTTCTGAGCCGGGAAGAAGTAATCGTAAATCTAGCCATTAAAATGTTAATGCATGTCTGCCTTGGAATTGAATAATTACCTGACGATGTGACGTGTACAATGGGAACTTAGGCTCTGGTAGATGAGAACTCGGCCTTCCTCCCGTAAAAACATAGGCCCAATATATAATGCTGGAAATGGTAACAAACGTTTTCACTTTTTCGAAAACATTTGTTTCTGTCGTAGTCAAATTCCTCAATTCGAATGCGAAATGAAGCATTTATCAAGTGGAAAGAACTTGCCGAATTGTCCAGCTTTTGTCTATATTTTTTAAATTTATTATTGATTAGCAATTTATAATTTTCAATTAAATAATAAACGTTCGCTTCCAGAATGTACAACGAATACCAATCAGTTGCACATGCTTTCAAAGCAGAAATACACTCAAAGACAAATATATTTATTTGTTTATTTTTCATAATTAGTAGGTATAAATATTAATATTCGACTTAAAACGCAAGTTTAATAATCTCCATCAATTAACTTGTTGTTTACCTTTGTAGAGTGCTATTAATCCTTTTACACACTTTAAGCAGTCTAATTTCATCCATTCCAGAGCTAACTTGTCAAATTAGTTAATTGATTTTTTAATTTTTTTTTCTTCCATAAAACTATAAATTTGAGTAAAAAATTAAATATTTCTTTTTTTCTTCAAAGCATGGTTTTAAGTTGAGAAGGCCATCCAAGGAAGGATTACCGAAGTGAATTGGCCAGCACGTTTTCCTGACATGAATCTTATAGGAAACTTATGGGACAAGATGAAGAGACGGGTTAAGCCAGGAACACACTTACCCGATGCTATGCCATGCGACGCTACCCGATGCTACCCGACTCCTTGCCACGTTTTTGGTGGGGTGTGCACATCTATCCGACGCAAGCACACGTCGCGTACAGTCCACAGCGTTTATCACAATAATCACTATCACAATCGCAACGCATCTTTTGTTTTTAATGCACTATTTTGAGCAAAACCTTGTAATACATTGTTAGTTAAATTTTATGAGCACAACCATCTAATAAATTGTTTGTTAAATTTAATTGTTTTAAATAAAGTTACTCCTAACCATCATAATTAAACAATGTTTATAAAAACTTATGCATTTTTATCTCGTTTAATTTGGTTTACATTAAAATAACATGTTGTAATTAATATAACGACAAAATTACATGTACGTAGTTTGAAATAAACTACAAAAAATATGAGTGTCCTGTTCTGATGCTACCCGACATTAGAAAGTGTTGTAATTTTACGAGCAAAACTATGAAATAAATTGCTAATTAAATTTTATGAGCAAAACCGTGTAATAAATTGTTCCAATTTTAGTATATGTACCGCCGAAGCGAGTACAATAAATAGTTAGTTACATTTGTTGATTCATGACATACAGTTGATTCATTATATCAAAAAATCGTATTCCGGTGTTTTGATTAATTTTCTATCAAACCGTTAAAATTAATTTTTTAAATAAAAACTAATTAATTTTTAATCACAGTTAATTTGGTTTATATTAAAATAATTATGTTGTAATTAATATAACGACAATAATACATGTAGTTTGAATAAAAATATGAGTGTCCGGTTCTTTTGTCTTCGATGTACTCGATGCGACCCGACGAAAATCTCGACAGTGGGGATCGCAGAGCGTCGGGTAGGTTAGCGTGGCATAGCATCGGCTAGATGTGAACGGGGGTACTGCAACCTTATGGAAAATCGGAGGTTTGATTTGCGTCGGGTAGCATCGGGTAACTGTGTTTCTGGCTTTAGTCATCGTTCGCCGACTCCAACAAGCGTTGAACAGCTTCAAACCGCTCTTGTTGAAGAATGGGATTCTGTTTCACAGGACGAAATCCGATCGCTTATTTACTTGATGGAGGCTTGGGCCGTTCTTATTTGCTAAATGCTTAGTAGTCTTAAGGCTTTCTCGAGGCCTTGGAAAATAATGCGCGTTAATAAGAGCAAAATCAAATAAATTGTTAGTTAAATTTTAATTCATCACTGAAAGATTTCCGGCTATTTTGGTGAATTTTCTTATATATTATAGTTTAGATATGATATAAATTATTCTTATTTTTATATTCATTAGATTTCGTGGTCCGATTGACCAAATAACTTATTTCAATTAATTAATCTTTATGTAAGGTATTAGTTGAAATAATAATAATAAAAATGGCAAAAATTTAATGCTGATAGGAGGGAAAATTCGAAACGTGAGTTCAGATGGGAAGTTGGTTTCCGAGTGGATCGATGTCACGATAGCTCAAGTGGTAGAGGAGCGGCGTATTTAGCCGAACGTCGTGGGTTCGAATCCCGCTCGTGACATTGGCTTTTTTATTTCAACCAATATCTTACATAAAGATTACTTAATTGAAAGAAGTTATTTGGTCAATCGGACCACGAATGTTAATGACTTTATTAATATAAGTAAAACGAAGTATACTTTCACTAAAGCTCTTCGTGCACATTTCAATTATCGCCAAAAATCGAAACCTGATTGCAGGACATTTGAAAAATGGCAAAACGGAGGGAAAATCCAAAAGGTGAGGTTGAGATGGGAAGTTAGTGCCCGTGGGGATCGTGGTCACGATAGCTCAAGTGGTAGAGCAGCGGAGTATCTAGCCGAAGATCGTGGGTTCGAATCCCGCTCGTGCCATTGACTTTTTTTATCTCAATTAAAAACCTTAATTAATTGTAATATAATAATAAGTTCACTAATTTCGTTGTCCGCTTGACCAATTAATATATTACAATTAATTAAGGTCTTTAGTTGAGATAAAAATTAGTGAACTTATTATAATAGTTTTCTGTCATTGAGTTCATCATTAGATAGAAAGGTATTTAAAAAGTTTCAAAAATAAACAATAAATACAGGAAATATGCTTTTAAAAAAATTGACTTTTACAGTGAAACTTACGTGTATAAAGGAACTCCGGTATTTCCTTTGAACCATAAAATCATAGCCACGTCTGTGTAATTGTTTTCCCCTCTGCACGGTAGTTCGGCTGTCCCATCTATTTCTGCCCAAACTACTTCAGGTGGTTCTGAAATATAAAAAAAAAAGATATGTCTTAAATAAGTTTTAATTGTATAGCGATAAAACAACATACACCAATTCCATTTGTTTGCCCGTTCAAATTTATGTTATGAATGTGCATTCCTTTCAATGGGTAACAGGTGTTACGTTCTCAGTGCCGTGAGTAGTGCGGGAAGGGTGGAGGATATTATAATGGCCCATTATGGGAAAATATATTAAAGTGGCAATACTATGAGTGTACTTCTTTTAATAAAATGTAAGAGAGAAATGAAAATAATATTCAAAATTTATGCACCCTTTCCCTATATTTCAGTTGGAATAGTTTTATTTTTGAAATGTATAAATAGGTTAATTACATAAATTGTATACGTTAATTCGTTAAATTTTAAAGAAAAAATATATACATATATTTGATTTGTTTTTGTCTTTCGAGTATTGAAAGTGATCGTCGAGTAAATAAATACATAAGTTTCCTTTATTTATTTCGGTATAGTTTGTAAAGAGGTATCACTGAGCGAGCAAACTTGAACAATAAAATAATCCATGGTATTATTAATTGAATTCAGATTATAATGAATTCTCTTGCATAAAATTCATCAAAATGCAATAATACAATAACGCGTTGTTATTCTATTATCTGTAATATACAAGATGTCCTGTGAACCGATGTTAATCCTTCAGGAGGTTATCCTACATGTCAAAATGGACTAAAATGTCCATATTGTGCATCTCTGAGTGTCAACTGTATCCGAGATGTTTCATTTGAAAAACTTCAGCCTTTCACAACTCTATACTACGAATTCTCTCTAATCACATGCAAATCCTACTAATAAATTGTATTTCACCAATGAAAGAACTGTAAAAACCTTACGGGAAACACGTGTGTTTTTAATTTTAACCTTAAAGTAAATAAAATATAAAATCACTTAAAAGAGACACTTATACCATATAATTCCCAAAGTTCTTATCTCAAGTTTAAATAAGACCTTCATGGTTATTCAAGTACTGACAAATATGGCGATTGTGAAAAATGTTTCCTTTGTTAATGAACAATAAAACATGCACTTGTTGTTCAAAGGTCAATTGTCTTTAGGTTAAATTTTGAACATTTAATTTAACTTTCGCAGCTTGCCTCAATTATGTAACAAAGCGTCTTTTATGTTTACTTTGTATTACTTTCATTATTTTTTAATAGAAGTTCCAGAATTAATGGCTGAATCTTTAAACAGTGTGTAACCGATAAATGAAATTTCTATCAATTAAACGTTAATTTTACGTTAGTGATAACTGACATTTGAAAAATTAAATAGATGTTTTTAAATTTCATTATTTGAGCCAATGTTTCCGTATAAATCATTACACACATCATACCTGTCCGTGTTAACAGAACCAGGACAATCTTACTTAAATTTAGACAGGAACTTTACTTTGAAAATTCGTAAAAGTTAATTTTTTAATGATGTGCGTTGTTTTAGTGTTTTGCTTGCTTTAGGTCTCAATAAAGTAACAAATAAATCACATAGGGTTTTCAATGCTATTTTGATTGGTGAAATCAAGTTTGCAGTAGGATTAACATTTTATGAGATATGGTGGCCTTTTGGTATATTGTACTTTTCTGGTTCCTTAGTTCATTCCGTCGATCCGATCCTTATTTAAGGAGTACTAGGTCATTGACTGTCGTAGCTGCCACTTCCCTGGGTTTTCTTTGTATCCTTGCCTCTTTCTCCTCATCTGCAAATGCTGTCAATATTGAGTATGCCAAAGTAGTGTAGTTGTTTTCTCAGCTGCCAGTGACCAATGAATCACTTATCACTTGATATATCACAATCAATAAAGTAAGAAATACTAGGTCATTGACTGACGTTACTACAATTCCTTCCTTGGGTTTACTTTGTATCCCAGGCCTCCATTGAACGGTTGCTTTGCATTCGAAGATGACAAGGGCGGCAGTTTCTTCCTCCTCATTACATAACATGCAAATGGGGTCATAATTGAATATGCCAATGTTGTATAGATATTTGCTCAGATTCCAGTGACCGGTAAATAGATCCGGAGCCGGATCAACTGAACTACGGGCGCAAGCATCTTCCAGCCCAAATGCTTGCAATTGCGGTTTGAATTCGTAGTGGTACGTGGTGAGACCCCTGGCGGGTACTCGGAGAGAGACGATTATCCGTTGTACGTACACAGGGTAGTGGCACTCGTCCGGAGGTGGTTAGCATTTCCAAAAACAAAGCCGTCGTCGGAACGCATCCGGAAGTCCCCACGCTAGGGGGGCCCCTCCACTCGGGGGAGATAGAGTCGCCTTCTCTATCTACGGGAGTACCGAATTCGTTCAGCCCTTGTACCAAGCGCTGTGCGGCACACGGTCAGGTACATTGTTTGGCTGGCCCACCCCCTCGGACGGGGCAAGTGGGGAAGAAGGCCGTTTTGGTTCCTAGGGGCTTGGGCGGTTCTTCTACACCAAGCTTGCGGGCATGGCACTAACCACCCGTGAGCAGAGGTGCGTCGCGTCCCACCTTGAGAAACAAACGTCTGATAAGGCCATGTGCCAGGTGCGGACGATGAAGAACCTCATTGTATTTTTCAAGACGAAGTGACCCGAAAGGGAACTTCATGACCGGTAAATAGTCCTATCACCCCTCTGAGTTTAGTAATCTTTAACTGCAGCAGTGAGTTTGCCAGTCCTGGTTAAGGGGCATAAGTTCACTGCGTCTACCACCCCTAGATTTTATCCATTTCTCTTTTATCCCAAGAATTAATTCAGGACGTATATATGGTCTTGCACATCATCCTCTGGCAAGGGGGCAAGGGCCTTTTCGTTACCTAAAATTCCTTTGTTTCCTGGTTCCCACAATATCATTGTTTTTGAGTTTTCCCTATTATTTTTTTATAATAACTTTAATTTATTTTCCTTTTACACAAAATCAGACACATAATAGAAAAGTACAATACGACATGAATAACAATCCGTTTATCGGGAGTAAACTAAGAATGAGTAATAAAAGTGAAAAATATAAATCAACTGAATACCTATCCAAATGAATAGTTACAAATCATAATAATAATTATAACAATTATGACATTTAAGTGAATATAAACGGAATTCAAACATTCATAGGGGAAATAAAACTTATCTTTATTTTTTATAGTTTTTCTCTTTCTTTTAAAATTTATCACTAATTGAACTGTTGAATCAATTCATACTGGTATTGCCAAGCGTTGCGTGCTTAGCATGCAAGGGATTTACTTTTTTTTCGTTCAGGATCTGAATAAATGAAACGATGAAACGAACGTAAAAGGCTGAGGACACCTAGTTGCGGAAGATATTCTGATAAAATGGAACACCCAGCTAAAAAGTGAAAATTATCTTCTTCTATCCTTGAGTTTCATAAAAAAAAAAGTTCGTCAGCATTAGATTTCTAGGGTACAAAGTTTAGGAATTTTTGTTTGCAACGTATTTTTAGGAACGATCGCAGCTCAGTGAGGCGTAAAAGGTTTGCTTACTCACACAGAGGATTGAAGAAACAATAGGAATGGTCCGAATCCTTATAAAAGATGGAACTGGCTGACAGGGAAGCTTTCCTTGGGCAAATTTCATGAAGAACTTCCCTAATTCGACTTAGAAGGATTTTAGATAGTCCCGGCCACAATCTTTTATATTTGCATTTGTTAACGGGAAAGCACAACCATAATCATGAGCCAACGTGTTCCATTTGGAAAACCAATAGCAATTCGTGTTTATCACCGTTGTAGCTGTAATTTTGGATAGAGGTGAGGATGCCAAGGTCAGAAATGAGATAACATGTGTTGACTCAATATATGTTGAAGAGTTTTTGAAGGTGCGCCAGCCTGGAAGAAGGCGCCACAAAAAAAGTCTACAGTTTCGTGGGTTCAACGAAACCTCTCAGGCTGGATAAGCAAGAAAGAAAGATTGGTCGACCTCGTGATTTCATGCAGTTACTTTTTTTTAAACACTTCCTGAAATTAAAAATAATTTGTGTCTAAGGTCTTACACATCATAAGATTTAAGGTAAAAATAAGTTGTAGGATCACCCAAGTTTCTATAATAGCATATGTGTCGGTGTAGAGTCTCGAAGAGAGAAGAGTTTTTTTAATAAATATCCTCTGAACTTTTTCTATTACCTCATATCTCTGAAACCCCCAGATCTGGCAAGCATAGCACAATATGGAACTACCAACTCTGTTAAATACTTTGAACTTCACTGAAAGCTGACCCAGGTCCTGGGTGAACAGATCATTCTAAACCCTATTTACCCCAAACTAGCAAGTGTTGCTTTACGTTGTAGATGATCGGTAAAAGACAATTTCGACGATGGATTAACCCTTAGGTATTTGTAGTTATTTACAACATCTATTTTCTTACGTTTGTTGTCCCAACTATCTGACGCAGCTTACCTACCACCTTTCCTAAAAATTAAAATTTTAGATTTGCTCAGGCACAAAGTTTTCCTGATTTTGGAAATTTTCGATGTATTCACTTAATACTTTTGATGTAATTTTTTTACATGCTAATGCTTCAATACCTGCATGACTACCCTAATTATTCGGATTTTTTCCTAGTGTACATGTTTTCCGGCATTGTTCATGCTGAATCTATTTCGATTCTAATATATCTATTACTAATTGAATGTTGCAATTTAATATCGAAATGTACTAGTCGTTCTAGTCGAAATTATTAATTTTGTTAATATACAATTTGGTCAGAGAGATATTTAATAAAGAACATGTTTTGGAGGGCGCTTCACGAAGTAATACACGTTTGTGGCGCGGGGGCGAATTGTTCTCAACCAATTTTGACAAAGGTTTGAGAGTGTATCACATAACTTTTCAGTCATCTCGCCAAGATTAGATTTTGTTGATATGCTGGCTTGATTTAAGCAGGAAATAATATCGCACATAGCTGAATTTGGTCTCAAAAGTGGATTTTTATTTACGAGTCAAAAATAAATTTCGACTCTACTTCAAGAAATTACGTTTTAACAG